TCATGTTTTTGGGGCCCCCAAGTGTAAGTGTTTCATGTTCCGGGGCCCCCAAGTGTCAGTGTGTCATTGTTCTGGTCCTCCAAGTGTCAGTGTGTCATTGTTCTGGGACCCCCAAGTGTCAGTGTGTCATTGTTCTGGGACCCCCAAGTGTCAGTGTGTCATTGTTCTGGGACCCCAGTGCTCCCCGCCCCGGTTCCCAGCTCTTTGATTTGTCCATGTATATCATTCTAAGGGATTGACAACAGAACACAGATAAGGGGATTTGGAGAATTACTCAAATTAATGGTTAACGAGGATCTGAAAGTCACTTTTATGGTTAAAGAAACAGTTGGAGTATTCCGCACTTTGTCCATCAATAAATCCCGAGCCGCGTTTCTGGAGCAAATATCGAAAGTTTAGAAAGTAAAATGAGAACAAAAAATGTTATCAATGGAAAGTCATTAAATATAAACCGATAAAACGTCAGCATGGAGGATGTTATTTTCTGTCTCTTCTGTGATAAAGTCATAAGATAAATAATAAATTCTGTAGTGAGGGCCACACATCCCGAACCAGATAGTAAGGTGATGTCATCAGCGATGAGGGAGCTCCCCGACATCACATCACTGGAGAGAAGGAGAGAAGAGAGATCACCGAGGGATATTCTGGGGCTAAAATCTTCTACAAAGTTTATTTTACATCAAAAACTAATACAGAGCAGGAACTGAGCTGCAGATTACAAAGGGAAACCAGATCTCCCTGTGTAATCTCTGTGACAGCCGGGCGCTGTGCTCTGTACATCAGAACGCCGATCTCCCTGTGTAATCTCTGTGACAGCCGGGCGCTGTGCTCTGTACATCAGAAAGCCGATCTCCCTGTGTAATCTCTGTGACAGCCGGGCGCTGTGCTCTGTACATCAGAAAGCCGATCTCCCTGTGTAATCTCTGTGACAGCCGGGCGCTGTGCTCTGTACATCAGAACGCCGATCTCCCTGTGTAATCACCGAGCCTCCCTCCCCAGCAGTTCCCCTGCAGCCTCTTCTGCCTCGGGGTGGTCCTGGTTCTGGGACCCCCCAGGGGCAGGGTGTCATTGTGGTGGTAATATGGATTTGTAGTTTCCCCGGCAACGGTGTCAGGAGCTCACAGTGGTTGATATCTCGTGGTGTCATCTAAGATTTATAGTTGTTACATGTTGTCACCTGGAAGTCAAATATTAAACTCTTTGTATACATTGTGACGGTTTATTATTGGATCAGAGCAAAGTCCTCAGCATGAAGGGACGGACGCTGCTGCTCCTTCTCTCTATTTGGATCCTTCTCTATATTGCCCGGTATCCAGAAAAGTTCCCAGGTAGGTGATGATCGGGGGGGGGCACCTGAGGGGGGTATCTGTTGATTAATAATCAGAATGTCAATCAGTCCGCTGATAGATCAATAACTGAGCCCACACTGAGGGGTCAGTGTTGGCCCCTGTGAAGGAGAAGGGGGCCCTCAGACTTCTGCAGGGTCTCACAGAGGGCAGATCTCAGCCTGTGAGTGACACCGGAGTCTGTGTGCTGCTCCTGGAATGCTGGAAAACCTCACTATATATATAACCCCTAGGCCAAACCCCCCAACCCCAAATGCAAGTCTATGGGGGGTCCGGGTACTTCCCTGGGGGACATGTATGGGGGTCCGGGTACTGCCCTGGAGATAAACTCTTAAAGTGTGCAGTTTCCCCTCCCAAACAATACCGGATATATATATAGGAATATGAAGGAGGAACCCCACCCCCAAAAAGGGGGGGACACGTGGGGTCCCCCCTAAAATTCCATACCAGACCCTCGATCCGAGCACAGGCCTGGCAGGGCCGGAAAGGGGGGGGTGGACGAGCGATTGGCCCTCCTCCCTCCCACAACAGGCCACGTGCCCTCGGCATTGGGAGGGTGTCCCCGTGCCGTTGGGGACAAGGGCCTCGTCCCCACAACCCTGACCCGTTGGTTGTGGGGGGTCTGCGGGCAGGGGGGGCTTATTTGCATTGGGGTACCCCTTTAAATAAGGCGGCACCCAGATGCCGCCCCCCCCTTGTGAAGGAGTAAGGGGTACTTGTACCCATTCACTAAAGGGTTAAATCAAATAGTAAAAACTCCAGACTTTTGATAAACTCCTTTAATTGAAAAAAACTCAAAAAATGGATCCAGCGACGTAATCCGGCGTCAATCACGGCGCCCAGCGTTGTCCACGACGACGACTAAATAAAAACCAAACAATACAAAATAAATAGAAATAATAATTTTTTTAAAACGACTCCCGCGGCATAATGGCATTTTGACAGCTAGCTCCGCCCAATTGTGTGGTTTGCAGGCATCTGATAGGCGTGACATGATTGGGCAGAGTTATCATGACTTTGCCCAATCATCTCTCCAAATGAGTACTGAGCTGTGGTCATGTGCAAGTCTTTAACCAATTAGAGGTTCAGAGGGCTCTTTGCAGTATGGGAAGTTGCGCGCTCGAACACATCGCGGACATCCCTAATAACCCCAACACTAACTACTGGGGGAATCTCACCATTGTGGGAGGGGCAGAGACACAAACTACTGGAGGAAATCTCACCATTGTGGGAGGGGCAGAGACACAGACTGTGACGACACGGTGATCAGTTTATAAGTTGGATGTGTATTGGTGTTGGGTTATGTTTGAGTGCGTTATGCTGTGTGACCTGGTTATGGAAAGACTATCAGCCCCATCCCCCGTTATCTCCCATTGTTCTCTGAGGGAGCTCAGAACAATGACATTCTGGCCAGGCTCCTGCTATGGCTGTCTGGAGTTCGTTAGCAGGTGGACACCTGTGGTGTTGAGCAGACCGATGGTCTGGGAGGGGGATTGGACCATCCCGCCACACACACTGCAGTCTTCAGATAGATCTCTGTTTAACTCATTGAGTGCTGTCTGGTCTGAACAGGTCATTCATTCTGTTTTGTATTTCTAAATATTTTACATAAATATTTTTAAAAAGTTTTGAAAATAAATGTTTTTTTGTTAAAAATAATTCATAATTTTTGATTTTCAGCCCTTAAATTCCGGAGTGTTGTGTCGGAAACCACGACAATTCCCATCATCTTCGTCATCACCCCGACGTACGCCCGTCTAGTCCAGAAAGCGGAGCTGACGCGCCTCACCCTCGCGTTCAGGCAAGTCCCCGCCCTGCACTGGATTGTGGTGGAAGATGCCCTGCAGAAGACTCAGGTGGTCAGGAACCTCCTGCAGCGCTCAGGGATTCCGTACACTCACCTTTCCATCCAGTCCTTGAAGGACGTGCGCAAAGCCCGCGGTACCCTCCAGAGGAACTTGGGCCTCAGTTGGCTGCGAGAGACCTTTTATCCAGAGGACGCCCCTGAGGGAGTGGTGTACTTTGCTGACGATGACAATACATACAGCCTGGAGATCTTTGAAGAGGTGAGCAGTGCGGATATGGACACTATCCAAGTGTCACCCACAGGGGCCGTCAGGGAGGCTGTACTGGCCTGTCGATGTCTCAGTATGTATATAGCCAAGTGTTAGGGTCAGCTTGGCCCATATACAAACTAGTTTATGCTACCAATGTGAGCACTCCCAGCATCTCTAGCTGCAATAAGTTGGCAAACACTAAAAAATTGTTGTGACCACCAATGTTATGGACAATCCTCCTCCCAATGACCACCAATGTAGTGGACAATCTTCCTCCCAATGGCCACAAATGTAATGGGCAGTATTTCTCCCAATGGCCACCAATGTAATGGGAAGTCTTCCTCCCAATGGCCACCAATGTAATGGGAAGTCTTCCTCCCAATGGCCACCAATGTAATGGGCAATCCTCCTCCCAATGACCACCAATGTAATGGACAGTCTTCCTCCCAATGACCACCAATGTAATGAACAGTCTTCCTCCCAATGACCACCAATGTAATGGATAGTATTCCTCCCAATGTAATGGATAGTCTTCCTCCCCAAGACCACCAATGTAATGGACAATCGTCCTCCCTAAGACCACCAATGTAGTGGACAGTCCTTCTTACAATGACCACCAATGTAATGGACAGTCTTCCTCACAATGACCACTAATGTAATGAACAGTCTTCCTCCCCAAGACCACCAATGTAATGGGAAGTCTTCCTCCCAATGGCCACCAATGTAATGGACAGTCTTCCTCCCCAAGACCACCAATGTAGTGGGCAGTCTTCCTCCCAATGACCACCAAGGTAATGGACAGTCCTTCTTACAATGACCACCAATGTAATGGACCGTCTTCCTCCCCAAGACCACCAATGTAATGGACAGTCTTCCTCCCAATGACCACCAATGTAATGGGCAGTCTTCCTCCCTAAGACCACCAATGTAATGGACAATCTTCCTCCCAATGGCCACAAATGTAATGGGCAGTATTTCTCCCAATGGCCACCAATGTAATGGGAAGTCTTCCTCCCAATGACCACCAATGTAATGGGAAGTCTTCCTCCCAATGGCCACCAATGTAATGGACAGTCTTCCTCCCCAAGACCACCAGTGTAGTGGACAGTCTTCCTCCCAATGACCACCAATGTAATGAACAGATAGAAAGGGTTAAGGGCACATGATAGCCAAAAAGAGCAACAAAAAAATCCCTCCAAGCAAATTAACTTCCCAGAGATCTCGTGGGGCCCAGACAGGCTTCTGTCTTTCAGTATCTTTTGACTTCTGCCCCAGGTCGTCTGTAGGACCCTTTATGCCTCTGCTATCAGTTATTTGTAGATTCTATAGGTCCAGGCAGGCGCCTACTGTTCAGTATCTTTGGCCTCAGGTACAGGCCAGTTTAGGACACTCTAGGTCGAGACAGAATGTTAGGAGAACAAACCCCTTTCTTGGCTCTGGCTTCCTTGTCCAGGCAAAGGGCCTGAGAGGCAAAGACTGGACCTCCCTGCAGCTACAACCTTCTCAGGCAGCAGCCTGGGAGAAAAGGACGGGGCCTAGGGTTGCCACCTTTTCTTCAATCAAAACCAGAACACTCTAGCCACACGCTGACATTTTTTTGGGAGAATGAGTCGTGGCTTATTCATATGTAAATATCACATTTGAGACTATTTTCAGTGGGGGGCCAGTAGCCCCTATCTTCATTTTGGTTGCCCCTGTCTGCCTGACATCATGTGTCCTGGTGAATCCTGGACAGGTGGCAACTTTAACTGGGCCCTGCTGCACTCACATCCTCACCAGGGAGCCAACCTGGGAGGAAAAGACACTTCTAGAACGTTTCTCCAAATATTTAACACCTTTCTCAGCCCACATGGCTGGCATAACCCCCTCAGCGATTGGTCAGAACAGAATAAATATTCTAAAGAGCCGAAGGATCCAGCCGCAGCTTTGGGTGTTCCTTGGGCTCGCTTCGGCCGCCGCTGCCCTTCGGCTCAGCCGAACATACAGAGCAACGCACCACCGAAGGCAGCTGATGTGTGACTGAAATCAGGCGTTCGGCTCATTTCACTTGGGCTGGCTTATTCACTCGGCTGTCTTCGGCAGCTTTGTGAATAACCCCCTTCAGGCTAGGGACACTCCAGCTTACGGCAGGGTCCCTACCCTCCCAGCACACTTCCTCCCACTGACCACCAATTCTGAGGATGTTTTCTTCCAATGCTGGGAACTCCCCCTCCAAAAGACCACCAAATCTTAGGGCTTGGCCTTCCACTGACCACCAAATATGGGAACTCTTCCCTCCGCTGACCACCAATGTATATGGTTGTATGTTACATCATGCGGAGTGCGTCTCTCTGTGCTGTACATTGCTCCATTTTTATGCCGTGCACAACATACATGTGTGGTGTGAACGGGGCACAATATGCGTTCATTAATGCAGCTCAACACGCCAGCTGTGAAGCAGCCATTACAAATCCCACTATGAAGAGTAATTGTCCAATTCAGGACTTTATGGTTCTCATGTGACAGAGAAGAATGACGCAATGCAGAATGGGTTTAGTAAGATCGGACTGCGGATTGAATGGGTCTGTTGAGTGGTGTTTGCAATGCTGGGGCGCTCCTATTGAGTTTGGTCTTCTTACAGATGAGATACACCAAGAAGGTGTCAGTGTGGCCCGTGGCTTTTGTTGGAGGGCTCCGCTATGAATCCGTGAAGGTCAACATGGAGGGTAAAGTGGCCGGATGGTTCGTAAAAATTTTCCCATCCCGATCATTCGCCATCGACATGGCCGGCTTCGCCATTAACTTGAAGCTAATCCTGGAGAAGCGCACGGCAATATTCCGGCTGGATGTCGCTGCGGGCTACCAAGAGCCCAGCCTACTGCAGGACCTGGTGACAATGGAGGAGCTGGAGCCCAAGGCTGACAACTGCACCAAGGTAAGTCTCCAGGTGCCCCTCTACCCCCTCCCCCCATACAAATATCACCTGCGATCAGCTTCCATGTGATTGGTGAACTTTCTCTGAACGTTTCTTGGTATTTGGCAGATTCTGGTGTGGCACACGAAGACCCAAACACCGAACTTGCGTAATGACAAAAACTTCACAGACCCAAATGTTGAAGTCTAAACGATAACGAGAGAAAAACGAAAATTCTCAGCAATGAAAATGGAGACGCACCGCCCGGGAGAGACGCAGCGACGACATATGTGTGCGTGTGAACCAGCACCGGCCTAAGGACGATGGGAAGAGAATATCGGTTCTGTAAATCTGACAAGCAAGCTCTAAGGCACGGCGCACATGGCAGGACCGCACTACACAGAGGAGCCGTGACCTCTGAACCCCAAAAGTTAGACATTGTCATTTGTTTTGTTTTATGCAGGTTGGCCGGTGAGTGTGCCGGGAAAGGTTTTGCTTTTGTTCTGTATCTCTGTCATCCAGGACGCGTGATGTGCGGCACAAATGTCCATCAATAAATGTTCATGGCTGAGAAAGTCTGTGATGATCGTGTCAGGGTGTCCCCACACCGCATGCAGGTACCCACGCAGGAGGACCAAATTACTATGACCGCACCAGATAAGGTTATAGGCACACAGTTTATTAAACAACAACACAAAAACACAACAACCCCACCAACCCCCCACAAGTCTCAAACAAAAACCCAGGAAATGCAAACAGGGCATACAAACCGAGTAAACTCATAGAGCCGGGCAAGACCAGGGGAGCCGGGCAAGACCAGGGGAGCCGGGCAAGACCACGGGAGCCGGGCAAGAACAGGGGAGCTAAGGGACAAAGGGTCAGGGTACAGGCAGGTAACACAATACTGCAAGCGGATAACAAGGATCAGGACTGCAAGCGGATAACAGGGATCAGGACTGCAAACAGGTGACAGGGATCAGGACTCAGTCAGGGAAAGGCGACAGGATACTGAGCCACAGTCCTGACTGCAGGGAGGGATTATATACCCTCCCAGGAAGCACCAGATGTTGGATAATTGGTGGCAGCTGAGAGACACCCGCAGGTGAGCCCTGGAGCCGCAGGTTCCAGCACCGCCCAGTGGTGGTCTGATACCTGACAGTTCCTGGCTGCCTGGAGACACCTGCCGGCGGGCACAGGTACTGGCTCCAGCGCCACCTGGAGGTGTTCTGGATCCTGATAGATCGTGAGGTTTCATGAACCCCCAAACTGAGCGGAGAGAATGGGGGAGTCATAGTGGACTCCATGCTACCCTCATCACATCCACAATTCACAAGGCGATAACAAACACAATCAGATCTCATGTGTGGGGGAGGCGGCCAGAGAAGTTGACATATCGGACCGCACTCCCACATGACACACAAAGCAGAGATATCGTCATCATCATCATCCATCATCACCATCATCATCCATCATCATTCACTACTTCTGCTCTGTAAAGGAGTTTTAATGAGGTTTTGTCATAAATGTCCCTGGTGTGAATATTCAGGATGCAGCACAGGAGTATACAGCAGTATATAGGAGTATACAGCAGTATATAGGAGTATACAGGAGGAGTATATAGAAGTATATAGGAGTATACAGGAGTATATAGGAGTATACAGGAGGAGTATATAGAAGTATATAGGAGTATACAGCAGTATATAGGAGTATACAGGAGGAGTATATAGAAGTATATAGGAGTATATAGAAGTATATAGGAGTATATAGGAGTATATAGGAGTATACAGGAGTATATAGAAGTATATAGGAGTATACAGGAGTATATAGGAGTATACAGGAGTGAATGAATGTCCACTTCAGTGATATGATGCTAGTTGAACATTTTATTGAACATCTTTTTGGGG